ATTTTATCGTTTCCCGAATTTATTTGAAGAGTTCATAGAAAACACATTACGAAGGTTATTTTCTCTTTTCTATTCGAATTTAAAATCAGATTTTTCAATGCGATTTTTCATCTTTCGGCAACTATAATCTCTTCATTACCATGAAGCTGAAATATTTTCACACTATTGGAATCCAATTCCAGTCATACACCATTGGACTCTTATTCTATTGAAATATAGGGTGTCCGCAAATTTCACCGACAACGTTTGTCTGCATATTCAGGACGATAAATAAAAACAGTCTACGAAAAAAAAGTTAAATAAAAAATTTTTGGTTTTTGAGTTACAAGCTTTCAAAGTTGTTAAAAATAAAATAATTTAATTAATAACTTCATAACCCTTTTACAGATCGCGTTAAAATTTTGCACATATATTTGGACTATTATGGCGTATTATTTCTTAAAGCTTTAGTCAAATCGATATACTGGGCGATAGTTTTCTCCGGTTACATCTCCCTTTTAAAGGTCAAAACTTTTACAGTGGACGTATTTTTTTAAAATGGGCAGCAATATTGAAAAGGTCGTTTCATTTAAAAAAAATATTGTCCCTTGTAAAAAGCGCCTACAGAAAGCCATTCTTGAGAAAAGTGGCATTATTTGAAGGTCTGTACGTTTCGGATTGCTTAGAAGTGTCATGGATTTAAAACTTTGAGTTCAGTAAGCGATGAAAACAAGATGTTGATTGCTGTGGCTATCAGGTAATGTCATTATTGTCGTGTTTCTTTATGATTCTCATCACTACACAAGCAAATTATGACGTGTCCGCCGTATATCAATACAATTGAATGTATGTAAAATTAATGTTCACAAAACTTTAAAAAAGCAACTTCTTCGGACATTTCATTTAACTCCTGCTCAAGAACTTGGAAATGTAGATCCCAATGCAAGTTTACAATGTTTCCACTGGTTGGTGAATGGCTAAAAAAGGAAAGGTAACCGGAGAAAACCCAGTATATCGATTTGACTAAAGCCATAATAGTCCAAATAAATGTCCCAAATTTTATCGCTATCGATAAAAGGGTTATGAAGTTATTAATTAAATTAGTTTTATTTTTGACAACTTTGAAGGCCTGTAACTCAAAAACAAAAAAGTTTTTATTTAATTTTTTTTCGTAGATCATATTTATTTATCGTCGTGAGTATGCAGACAAATATTGTCGGTGAAATTTGTGGATACCCTGTATAATTGCTGAAAGACGAAGCGTTATATTAAAATTCCATATTCAATTAGAGGAGCCTTCATAATGTTTTTCTATTTTCGTGTAGGTCTTTAAATAAAGCTGGAAAGCGCCAAAATCGAAAGGTGCTTTTTTATTTCTTAAAGTTTTATATGGTAACTTGACAAAGTGACGTCATGTTTTCATAGGAACATAGGAAATAGTGCTTCCAATTCAAGAAATGGGTCTTAGGAAATTATCATGGTATAACTTTAAGTGGGGTTCAATTTTTTAAGGACAATAGTACATGTTCTCTGAATACCAATCTGAAATTCCCTTTTTTATCAAATAAATAGACGAATTATAATTAGTTTTTTAAATCGCATTTTAATTGTTGTGTATGCCGCCACTAAACGACGCAAACCAAGGCATACGGATTTACGTTTATGCTAAGTTATGAAAAATAATTTAGGAAAACAGATTGTCTTTGTATAATTTAGCGCCTTATTATTTTAAACTCACCACTTTTTTTGATATCACTGTGGTCGAAGCGCCGAACATTAAAAAAATTATTTAAAATAAAAATTTTTCATTTATTATTTTTTTTTAATCAACAGTTAGACAGTTTTTGCTTTTCTCCAGCCACGATGTGTTCTTTTAAGGTCGGCATATTTTATAGAACAAAATTGTTTTTAAAAAATTAAAAATTTTCACATGATTTATTAATATTGTATTAGTCAATATTGGCATTTAGATATGTTACTAATAGTTGTAAATAAAACTAATTTATGTTGAAAATAAATTATTTTTACCGTTTTAAAAAACCAACAAACCTAAAAAAGAATGAAAATGTTACTATAATTAAATTGAATACAAACAATAATTATTTGTTTCAAGCAGTGTGTGTATTTAATTTCTGAACATCGGTGTCAGTCATTGTCAGACATTGACCTAGTATACGAAGAAATACAGTATGTGAACAGCTTAAATTTAATCAAAATCGATCCTGTTCGGAGCTCTTACGAAGGGCGACAACAGAGGTTAGCCTCCACGTTTTGTTTACATACTATATCTTTCCTTTAAAAATTTACTACCGTCAATTGTCTTCACACGTAGTACATACGATATGATGGCAAACGCGTTAAAAATAAACTGCCACGTTAATTCGAAGAAACGGGAAGGACCGAATACATCGTCACTGTCTCGTCTGTTACTTTTTATTTTGTTTCAACTTTAATGGTGTATGAGGGGGTGTTCGTATAGTGTGCCAGTTTATTGAACAAAGGGTATAGTATGTGCTAAAATGGACAGAAACTGCGTCCTGTAATACTTTTTTACTTACAGCATGCAGCAAGACTTAGGGCTACGCCCATGAACTATACTAATCTTTAATTGAGCCTTTATCAATTACGAAACCAAACAAACTTTTTTATTAATCTAGAACTATCGGCATTTTGAAATAAAATTACAATAAAAATATATTTATTAAATATTAACTGTACAGGGTGATTCAGTCATAATGTCTTTAATTATAAGGAAAGATAGGTAAAAATTAGTACTTATTGCTTTTCAAAAAGTAGTACGGTAGCACTTTGTTAATAAAGTTCGGATTCGCAGTTTGATTTTGAAGCCAATTGCAGAATTTAATACAACTGGGGAAGTCAACTGTTTCTCTTCAATGTTCGAACGCTCTGTAGTCCGCTGGCGCGTTCCATGTCATAAAGTGTATTGCGAAGTAGGGCGCCGAATTAACGGGAGTTAAGGGGTAATTTGTTTATTTTTAAAAGGCTTAACTTTTTTCGATTTTCTGTCTTTGTTAAGCCTTCCGAATACGTGGTTAAAATTAATGACATTATGACTGAATCACCCTGTATACGGTTTTCACAGAAGTAATGCAGCATATTCCTGGGAAATAATTACATTCAAATATAAAGAAAATATATTCTTAAAATAAGTTACCTACATAATTATTTTATACAGGGTGATTCAGAACTTATCCAAAAAAAAAAATTCTGGATGTACAGGGGACCCTTACAAATACAATTTTGTAAAGAAAAAATCAAAAACTGCAGTTCAAAAATGATTTAAAAATACACTTCTGTACGGCACTGGAAACTGGTCCACTGTAAAACCTGACCTAGCACAATGCGACCGGCATGGCGGTGTGATAAAAACGGACAAAAACTTTTGCAAGGAAAGAAATATGTAAATAGAATTTTATCGCACCTATTTTATATCGGCAAATTCAACTGCTTTTGGCTTTATTAATTAATACAATTAATTTGTGTTTTTAAATAATAAAATCATTTGACATACCCAATGTTACAACAATTGTTCAAAATTTTATCCACCAACGTGTAAACACATTTGGGTCCGTCTTACTCAGTTTCTACGAACTAACACAAATGTTGTCTTGCTTCACCATATCACAAATGCTTCACCATAAATTAAAACGATATCCATGAACTCCGAGTTGCTATACACGCAAATCATTTTTGACACTAACTACCCATTTTTGACAGTAACTACTAAAAAAACTATTGAAGAGATAACAGGTAAATATTATTTCAACGACGATTGCAAAATCCGCTGAGGCCACGTGCCTCTCCATGCGCATTGCGAATAACGTTAGAGATTACAGTTGTCCAGCTATGTAGTCGTTGAATGTACTATAACTTCAATAATTTTTTCTCGGAAACTATAAGGATTATACAAATTTTTTTTACGATATTCACTCCATTTCTCATGCCGCATCTATTCCCAAATTTTTTTGGATAAGTTCTGAATCACCCTGTATAGATAGATAGATAACTATTAGATAGATAGATAGATGGTTTATGATCAATATTACAAAAGCATGTATTTCTGTTACAACATGTTAAAAGCTGAAGTCAATAAAATCAAAAGGAATTAAAAAGTAATTTGAAATGATAAAAGATATACCTATAACAATGTCTTTTGTCCTTAATTATCAGTTTTACTACACTATAAAACAATTAGTCATAAAGAAATTTAGTGTATAAAATTCCCTATATCCAATCGATCTTACATTCATATTCCTATGGTACTTCCTCGTGACTTTCAATCTTGAGTAGGAAAGTCTGAGATCCCCCCAAACTTCGTGTTATTATTAGGTATGAGAATCACCGTAGGTGAATATGTTATTCACGTTTCTGTGTATGAGTAACAAAGTTTCAATTAAATTTATATTAAACTACAAATACAATACAAAATCTATTAAATCTATGTTGTAAGATCATAATTCATTTTACCATAAGTATATCATAATATTGATTATAAGTGATGCTTATTTTTAAAATAAAATATTATATTTGTGGGTAGAAATTAAAATAAATAAGTATATAATTTTCTAGAAATAGGAAAATATTTTCTTGCGTACCTATACACGGCTGGAAAATCCACATGGTCCATCTGCCGTTACATGAGAGTGATAAAGTAAAGTAAAGAGGTCCGTGCGTTAGACAAGGATGGCTATATTGAATATGTTGCATAATCTGAATAGTCACTCCCACTTTTAACCCGGACTATTCAAATTATGAAACGTCTTCACTATAGCCATCCTTGTCCATCGCACCGATTTTTTTACTTTACTTTGTCACTCCATGTACAGGCAGATGGACCACGTGGATTTCTCAGCCGTGTATATGAACGTGCCATGCATTAAAATCAAATGTTTTACCCTTCAACCAAGAAAATATTTTTTTGAATGGCCAAGTCACAGTTGTATCAAATGCATTGATATTGATTTTAATATTCTGAACATAGTCATATACATAGACCATTGTCACTTACTCTTAATATCTTCACCATCTAAGGAACTTTGGTCCCGTACAACAACAAGAGTATCAACTTGAACTGAACCCTTGATATTATTCGCTCTACACGTGTACGTTCCTTGATCTCTGAATTGCATATTTTCACAAATCAACTTTCCAGTACCATTCACACTTGAGATTGCACATTTTGGAGGGATAAAAATATAACTCCCGTTAACTATCCATTCTATAACGGGTGTAGGAACTCCCCCGGCTGCACAGGTTAAATTAAGAGTATCGTTTTGTGGAAGGTGCACCAATGGTGGTGGAAGTTTCGAAATTGCTGGTTTCGCTGCAAACATTAAAATATATTTAAATACAAGAAGACTTCCTATTTAAAGAATTAAAACTTACAGCATCCAACCTCGTCGCTGCCATCGCCACAATCATCACTTGAATCACATCTCCATATCAGCGGTACACATTTCTTATTATCACATTGAAACTCGTCAAGTTCACATACTATTTCATCTGTAAGAAATATAAACACATAATATATGTACACATATATTATAATAACAATATTTAATTATTTAAAGAGGTGTGCAGATAGTATCGTATAATTTTCATCTATGTAGATAAGATACACAGAAACGAAAATTTATTATCTACTCAGATGCAAATAAATCAAAAATTATACTTATGCTTAGTAGCAACAACAAAAATTGGAAGGACTAGAGTGTATATAATTCCAAAGAAAGTATTACCCTGTAGATGATTACGAACAGTATTACCTCTCGGTCCTCAAAAAATATTGAATGTAAAGAATTTCAAACGCAAACGGGTATTTTACCTAAATATAGAGTAAATAAATGAGAATAAAACGAAAAAGCAATAAAACTCTTTCATCTTGTATCTCAAAACACCATTTGATTACGGATATAAGTTAATATGAACCTATTTTCTTATTTTTAGTCAGAAAATCGTCTGTTTTGTCGGTTGAATATTGCAATACCCTGTACTGTTTAAAGAATTATATTTTCAGTTTAAGATAACTTTTAGTATAATACACTATTTCTTATAAATTTAATAATGTATTCAAATCTAAATATAAGTACATACATAGTTAAATGATAAAATATTGTGTCTAGTTGGAATATATGATACACTGTCATTCTTTTATAATGAAAAAACATGTCTAAATGTAGGAATAAAATGTATACTTACTAGTAGAGATGGAAAANAAATAGTTTATTATTTTTAAATTTCAACGCCCTGTATCTCGAAAATGAGCCGCTTTAGGACATATGTTTATTAGGTAAACTGCACTTATTTTTGGATTTTTTACATACCATATCCGTTTGTAACACCTATTCATTAACACCCTGTATATATATATGTATATATCGCACCCCCGCAAGAAAAGTGACAACTGAAAAACTATAAACTTTCCAGGACAAGGAAAAGAAAGATGAAGTTTGTTTGAAATTAAATTATTATTTCACTACTATGCCGAACATATGTTAATAGCAGTATATTACAAACGTTGTCTGCGAAGTTAATAAACAAAAAGATATGAATATTTGTATCTTGCTGTTACATTTACAGCACAAAAACAGAAATTCAAAAAATTTGGACTTGTGTCACTTTTCTTGCGGGGTTGCGATATATATATATATGTATATCAAAAATAAAGCGAAAA